GAAATTGCCTCTAACCGAAATGTTTATCGTCATGTGTACCAGGATGACTTGGATGGCGCTCTGCGGCGTATCCGGTGGGGAGGTGGACCTTGCGGCCAAAATCATTATTTTGACGCGCCCCTAGATCTGTTTGCCGTTGCAAACATTTACAAATGCGCAGTCATGCATTTCGGCCTGGGAGTGCATAGTCAAGCTTATTATCCTTGTACCACGGTTCTCCCTTGGCGGTCGCGTGAGACTGTCACCACACCGGTCAGAGAGCTAGCTATTGCGTTTCTTGGGTCGTCATACAGACATTTCATCCGACTAGACATGTCATCCGATTTTCCAGTGCCACCGATTATACCTCGGTGGTACAACATTCGCACAGCGAGCGTAGAGGGTTGGGATGCGCTATATCATGACCGGATCCACGAATGGAACACCCTAGCTGCATTTTAGTTTTTCATGTTTACATTCTTTATTTGTAATATTATTTGTACGTTGCTCTTTTAATGAGAACATTAATCTTTTATATTGTATTGCTTACTGCATTCTATATGTTGCATGGGTAAGTTGCGCGGATACACTGTCGGGGTCACACGCCTCCACTATGTCGCGTGGCCTGAGCTTGTTTCCGCCGCTCTTATCCGGAAACAAGGTACATCCGAGGAGTAGAAAAACATAAGAACTCAGCTGTGCGTCGTGCGTCCTACGTGCACTGGGGTACAAACACCGCTGCAACACGGATGCGATCTTCACACCTCCGTGTTCCCAAACACCTAGCGCCTCGGTGTACAGTGCAGCCCTGTCCACCGCCAAAAACTCCGCCAGCAAATCTGCCTGATCCGCATCAGCCACAGCACAAAGTCGTTTACCCTCAACACGAATCCCCGGAATGGCCTCGACGTCATGTAACATGATCGTCATCTCACCGAACGGAAGGTGGAAAGAGTTTGTATCCGGCTGCCATCGCTCAATGAAAGCCGTGATCAGCGTACTGTCAATCTTATCGTGCATGGTGGCAGGAACGTGATTCACCCCAGTGCCCTCCAGTCGCTCGAACATCTCGCTCTCCGCCGGCCAAGCCTCAGCCCATGTACGCAAAAAGCTACAAGTCTTTTCCCGGGTATGACATTTCAACAACCCCGTAACTGAAGGCCTCTCCTGGTCCTCCCAAATACGGGCAGCTATGTGTCCTAGAAAGCTAGGAATCACACTCCCGTCAACAGGCCCACCGGGCACCTCACTCCTAACAACCCAAGAATCATTACTGGCCCTCGACCGTTTCCTGCTTGCCCCAGATACAGTGGACGCAGATGATGTGCCAGATCTACTAACAAACCTACCACCCCTACCCTTACGCACCTCCACCATATGTGTCTCGTACATGTCATCAACCCTCTGACTGAATGGACCGTAATCATCATACGGTCCACTGCCATCGTCCACATCCTCATCCTCATCTGCTCCCTCCTCCTGCTCCTCCTCCTGGTCACCCTCCTCAGCATCATCATCGTCATCGTCATCCTCATCCCGACGGTGGATCCGTTCTCTACGAGCTGAGGCCGAAATACCACGGGATCTGACATGTCTATGCCCCGACCTCTCCACTGAATAGCTTCTACTAAGAAGCTCTACATTCTTCCCCGCACCATGACGACCCAGTGAATTCTACACAAAATTTTAAAATATATAAACATACAAAAATTTGTACGAAAAATAGCTACCACTCCCAAATCAAATAAACTAAAAACATACAAATAATTGTAAACAAAATATAAACATAGAAAAAATACAACAAAATTGAAAAAAATTATAAAAATAAGGGTATTTTGATTTTTACCACCTTCAAATAACCAAATAATTGAATTTACCACCTCCAAAAAAAAAAGATTTACTTTACCACCACCAAAATTTCCAAAAAATCGATTTTACCACCAACTACCAGATTCCGTCCATGAATCCGTTAGTAGGGCCCACATTTTTGACGTTTCTTCTTCATCTTCCCCGATCTTCCATGTCAACCAACCAGCAACGAAATCAACTACCTCGATTGGTCGGAATTTCGTGTGGGTTTCGCGTCTGGGTGGTGGTGGTTTCGAGTCGCGATGGTTTCGCGTCTGGCTGGCGTGGTTTCTGGTGGGTGGTGGTGGTTTTGAGTCGGGGTGGTTTCGAGTCTGGGTGGTGGTTGTTTCTGGTCTGGGTTTGGATGGTGGTGGGGTTGGTCGTAGCTGTTAGGTGGTGGCTAGGGTTTTGAGGTCGGAAATTGGTGGAAAGGGGTAGAAATCGGTGCGGTTGTGGTGTGCGGTGCGGTGGTAGCGATTAGGTGGTGGGTTGGTCGTAGCTATTAGGTGTTGACTAGGGTTTTGAGGTCGGAAATTGGTGGAAAGGGGGTCGAAATCGGCGCGGCTGTGGTGTGCGGTGCGGTGGTAGCGGTTAGGTGGTGGGGTTGGTCGTAGCTGTTAGGTGGTGGCTAGGGTTTTGAGGTCGAAATCGGTGTGGTGGTTGTGGGTCCCGACGGTGGCTGGTAGCGGTTAGGTGGTGGGGGCTGGTTGTAACGGTTAGGTGGTGGGGCTGGTTGTAGCCGGTCCGGCGGTGGGGGTCCCGACGGTGGCAGCAACCATCGGTTGCTTGATGGGGATTTTTTATTTTTTATTTTGTTTTTTTTATTTATTTTTTTAAAACTTAACCAATAATATGGCGACACGTGTGCAAGGTAGGCCCCACTAACGGATTTTTGGACGGAATCCGTTAGTTGGAGGTGATTGGTGGTAAAACTGATGTTTAATTTTTTTATGAGGTGGTAAAGTAAATCTTTTTTTTTTGGAGGTGGTAAATTCAATTATTTGGTTATTTGAAGGTGGTAAAAATCAAAATACCCTAAAAATAAACAACAAAATATAAAAACAATTCAAAAATATATTACACAAAAAAAAAAAAAATTAAAACAATATTTTAAAACAAATATAAAAAAAAAGGGGGGGGCGCCTTGGCTGGACGCCCAGCCAGCGGTGGTGGCGCTAGCTGCAGACGCCGCCACCAGTGGGCTGGCGCCTGGGCTGGACGCCACAGCCACGGCTGCGGCGCCTTGAATAAACGCCACAACCGTGGCTATGGCGTCCAGCCCAGGCGCCAGCCTACTGGTGGCGGCGTCTGCAGCTGGCGCCACCACCGCTTGCTGGGCGTCCAGCCAGGGCGCCCCACCTCCGTCACGGCGGTTTTTCCTTTTTTTTTTTTTTTTTTTTTTTTACAAATTGTACCTTGCCTCCTTGGGACCTCCTTCCCTCCGCCGCCGCCGCCAATTCCTTGCCTTGCCGCCTCGACATTGCCGTTGTTTGAAATTTTTTTTTTTTTAGAGAGGTTGAAAGAAGATGAGCGATGAGAGTGTGAGTGATGAGAGTGTGAGTGTTTTTTTTTTTAGGTCAAGGGCAATATTGTCAAACCAAGTGAATTTTGTGGGCTTTATGTAGTAATTTGTGGGCGATGTTTAACAAATCCCATTAACAAACCTTTTTTCGTTCATGTGAGCAAAGGGGAGGATCTTCCTTGGGTTCATAGGGGTCCGGCCCCAATAATTTTTGTAAGATTTATTAGATGTGCTTGAGAAAAATATTATGTCAAGTGATAGATCCAACAGCTTTTTCAAGTGAGTCCAAATAAATGAAAATTAAATTTTAATCTTACATAAATACTTTTACTAATTTATTTTTTAAAAAAAAAAATTGAATTTATTTTTATTAAGACCTTTAATTTTTACACTTGAATCATAACATTATAAATAAATTTCATAACTCAAATAACTACAAATCCAAAGTGGTACGTATTTTTAATTTATATTATTTTTGTACATATATTGTACATGTGTCGTAATATGTTGTTTGTATCTATTTCTCATATAAATTTGTATAAACTAAAAACTCGCATAAGAGTTAAGTGGGGTTGATTGACTTCATTGCTTTAAATTTGATTTCGGTCTTTTTTTTTTTTTTTTTTTTGTTAATAGTTAGGTATCTATAATTTTAATTAGAAGTTATTAAAGTTTACAAGTTGACCCCCATGCCTTTTAGTCTAAGATCCGCCACTGTTCACTATCACACGAGTTTAGATCTAGTTTAACCTGAAGCAAAATTGACTAGACATTTTAACAGGTTCACTTCTGAAAGTGCATATACGATTATTCTTTATTCTGTTTGTTGAATTCAACCTAACAATTATAGCTTGAATATAAGTATAGTTAGATAAGTAATTAAGATAAACATGTATACATATTAGTGCAACGATTTGCATGAATATGAATCCTTTGAGATATGCACGTACCCTAATTCTCATGCACTTTCGAGGACGCTAGGTAAAGATTGTACCAAAACCCGGACTTTTATAGCACCAACGATATTTCTAGATTATATTTGGTATAATCGGATCTTTGCATGATAAACAACACCAAAATTTTATAATTGTAAATTTGTAATAGAGTATTAATAATTGTTAGTAATTAGTTTGGGCAATCATAAATACAACCTTGCAATTACACAATTGATACATTCTTGAACTAAGAGCTTGTTCTCTTCAGCTTATTTTAGTTCAGTTCAGTTCATTTCAATTCAATTCAGTTCTTAATTTCCTTCTCTCATAAAATATTTGTATAGTTCAGTTCAGTTCAGCTCCAATAAGTTCTGTTCAGTCCAGTTCAGTTAATCAGAACAGACCCTATGTTGATTTTGGAATACATAATAATATTATGCAACCTATGCTGTTCAGTCCAGTTCAGTTAATCAGAACAGACCCTATGTTGATTTTGGAATACATAATAATATTATGCAACCTATGAATCACTAATTAATTTTTTGGTTAATGATATGTAATCATGAGTAGATCAGTAGCCTAAACCTACACGTTTTTTTCAAGCCACTGGGGCCGAGCCATTGTAGATCACCTTTAGCAGGTTCCTTTAAAGAACAACCCAACCTACATGTCTTGTAATGAAAAATGATAATGTTTTACTCTAAAAGGCGAAGAAATTTCTCATATTTTTCATTGCATAGATAGAATTACAGCCATAGAAACACACATTATGGAAATTATTTCTCAATAATTATTTGTTTACATCATTATATACATACATACATACATATATATATTGGCAAACAATTGATCATGTGAACTCTTACGTTTCATATGGTGTAAAGTTCATTCCATCAGAGTGCCACAGGAGTTTACGACCGCCTGAAAATAAAAAAGAAGTAGGTTAATCTAGTTATTATCTCATCTAAGGCAATAAAACTGCAAGTCTGCAACTTTACTGGCTACTTAATCAAGTTATTCATAATGTTTCAAAGCTCAATAATGTTCAAAGACACTAAGTAAGGCTGAAAAATAGCCACAGCGAATAATGTACTGATGAATGATGATCTACATAAAGTTCTCTCAATATGTTCACTTACAGTTGGCAATGATGCAAACCATAATAAGCACTTAAACATTCAGATATATAACTCGACGCTAGCTGCCTACAGTGATCATCATAAAATCACTTGGAGGAATTGGAGTAACATATGAGTACAGGCTATATTCTTAATAATAGTAATGCGATTAATAGTAGTTAAACCAACTGGCAATTTACTGTTCAAGACAGAGGGGGAAGTTGATGGTAGAATGATAGCAAATTCGACTTAATAACTAGATATAAGGTGAAAGGCTCACCATGTGGAATTAAAAATCCCAAGCAAGTCTGAAAAATGCTGAGCTTGTAGTATGACATTTTGCCATCACTCATTTGAGCTATCATTTCTGGTGCCCCTGCCTGCATGACTGGATTGGGAGGCATGATCGGATCCTTTATTCACTCTGTTATCAAGTCTTTCCATTAAGCGAGAAAGACCAGCAATCCCAGAATTCACCTCCCTCCTAACCTCAGAGCCTAGTTCAGCCACGGAATTTCTCTGAGCAATTAGCCTCTCCTTCAAGCCTCTAGTATTCCTTGAAATAGATTCCTTGGATCTTTATAATAACAAAGAGTTAGCTTAAAGATGCTGAAACAAAATTTCAGTAGCCCTATTAAGTTGTTAAGGAACTTCAAAACATGTGGCTTAGTGTGAGATTATACCTCATTGACCAGGAATTAAAGCGAGTTCTTAAAGATTCTGACAATGACTGCGGATCTGATGGTTCTTCTGTGTACTGACTTCCTAAGGAAGGTTGAGTAGCAAAGTTTCTAGACAAGAACCAAAGATGAAAGAAATCACACACAGTAGCTCAGCAATACAAGTAAAATATGTGTCTATATAATCAGATAGTCCTTGTAAGAAAATCTACTTTAGAAAGAAAAAAAAAAAGAACAACAATGTTATGTAAGATTTTGACAAAACAAACTCATGTTGAAAAATAAATAAATAAATAAAAAAAAACCTAAAGTATAAGAAATGCACATACTACGTATTTCCAACATCATTTAAATATGAAGAAAAAAAAAACCTAAAGTATAAGAAAGGCACATATTTTGTCTCTATATGTTCACATCTTTCATTGCATTTATGTATGATTCTCACCAATGATATATACAAGTTAGTTTGGAAATTTCTTGCATCTAGCTAGTCTAATGTTCTAGTTTATTTCCCATTGTTGTTTCAAGGATGACATCTAAGGAACAAAGATCAATTAAAGGGTCATGGTACTTGGATACATACTGGGTTTCTGATAATACTCTTTGTCGATTTGCTGGTGCAACATTAGAGTGAAGCCTATAAGAAACATCCTCATCAGTCAGTGGGACTGGCACTGAAGCATCTGGATTACTTCGCCTCAGTATGGACGCACTTCCAAGAGACACTGAAGTTACATGACCTCCACCACCAACAGGATTCATAGCAGTCAGAACAGAAGCATCATGAGGACCATTGGGCGTTGAGAAAACAAAGAATGGTTGGTGCCGCTGTGATGATGACCTGTTCCTCTGGCCTTCTCTCCGGAAAACAAATTGTCCACTTCTCATGGAATCTGCAGCAGCCAAGTGCTGAAATATATGCTCTTCAAGATCAACTTCACCAGCGTCGGTAGGTAACTGCAGTGTTTAGGAATATTGCCGTGATGTAAGACACAATGACATAAAGTGCATTTATGAGAAAAGATGAAATGAAGAAAGAAGCATAGGAAGGCTGATAGAAAACAAACATGCAGTTCAAGATTCTCAAGGATGGGATGATAGACTTCTGTCCGAGTTCGCGACCTATTAGCTCTGAGACTCCTCTCATGCTCTATGGATTCCAGCAACTGTTGACTGTCACAAGATGCAGAAAAGATGTCCATTTATAAATCAAACAAATGAATGCACAAATGAAAATGGAATATGCAAAAAATCCAGAGCTGGAAACCTTGATCTATCTTTCAGGCTGATAGGTTGCCAGCACATTGGGCAATTTGAGCTTCTATGGCACCTTTAGGACACAAAAATAAGAAGGGATGTCAGCAACAAAAAGGCACATTCTTGATAAATATAAGGAGTAGTATTATAAGTTATATATTTTAAGGTTTTAAACTTGTTATATTAGTATTATTTTTTTAATACTAAATTACAATAGTACGTGCATAACGAAAACAAAATAAGCACCAAACTTTTTATCAAAAAAACAAAACAAAACGAATTAGATTGGACATCATCATAAGAATCTACAATTGAAATTATTAATGCGTATATTCTTAAGAAGACAACATCTCAAAAGAAAATGGCTGCATAAGTTAACCTTTGATTCAATAGTTCTTCTTCTAAGGGTGCTTCCCACAGATATGTTAAACATTATGATAATCCTCGAAGACTTCTTATCATATATACGTAGTAGATTTTCAGATAGATACAAATAAGAAATGTATGGTGACCAATCTGACCATGATAAAGGAAATAAATTGTTGCCACATCCACTGAATTGGAAAAAGATAGGAAATCATTCGTTTAGATATGACCCACATGTGACTATGAGAGTTCCAATAAAGAGTGAGAGAGAGGATAGTTAACTTATAAGCCTAGTAAGTCACTCCATCTATTACCAATTGGCTTTAGAATGGAACCCTTTGTATGCGGTAAGTTCCCTTTCGGCAACAAATCCTCAAGGAAAACTAGTGTCTTTAATTGCGCCTTAAAATCAATGAAGAATGACAAAGCCCCGACTTCAAATGCACATATCTCTCTATCTAGAAATGATTTGTGTAGTGATTAAAGTTGTAGATGAAATCTACAATAACTTTCTAACAGCTGGTCATAAGCCCATTGTAGCAAGAATGAGAGAGTTGTGGTTCTTTTACGATTAGTTGTCAACAGCTGAAAGTTCCTGCCCAACTGTTCAGAAAGACATAAGGAAGTTTGCCCAATCTTTTTCCCGTTTCTAAGTTTTGCATTTAATCCTGATTTTGTTTCACGGTTTGCTCATCACAGCTAAAAGGGTTATTCCTTGGGGAATAATTTAGAATTTCCTTGTGTTATCCACTCACCTGTTCTTTTTTATATTATTATTTTTATCCAAATACAACAAAGTGGCTAAGTTGGTATTCACATAGAGGAACAAGTAAACAAAAATATGAACTTGGTTAGAATATACAAGTGAAAATGTCTAGTTTGATACCATTCAAGGATGCAATGAAGGTGAAACTCATGCTTGCAACCAGTTACCTGAAAACATTGAAAAAAAATGGGTGATAAGAATTACATATAAGTGCAGCAGAGTGTAGTTATGACAATGGACGAAGATAATTCCTCAGACATAGCCAGAAAAAAAGTCAAGTCACGCTAGGTCAGGTTGATTAATTTGAAGGTTCAAAGGTCAGGTTGATTAATTTGAAGGTTCAAGTCATTTTTAACTATTCCGGTTTGGTTGGATAGCAAAGTAGAAGAGAAAGAGAAGGGAGGAAAAAAGGAAGGATGACGAATGGAAGGGGAGGGAGAAGATAAGGTTACATTTTCCCTCCAAATCTTTCCAACATTGGAAGGATTTGGTTTGTTAAAGAGGGCGGGAAAATGAATCCTTCCATTTCCCTTCCCATCCCTCCTACCAAAAGGTATCCAAAGAAGGGAAGATGAATCCCTTCTTTTCTCTTCTCTTCCATCCCCTCTAATTCTCTCAATCCAAACAAATGTATTCAAATCTTTATATGATAATGTTTTTTCGAGCTATAAAACATTTAGGTTCAAAATGATCAAATAAACTAAAGGATTTTAATACACCCTTTCTTTTTATATTTTGAGTACTATACAATCATATATAAGCTTGTCTTGACATACTTCCTACGTTCATTAAAAATTGCACATTTCTTATTTCACGGTCTCCAATGCAGTGGTTTAACCTCAATTATCTCTAATTGTACAAAAGTAAAAATTGTAAACAGTTAAGATTTTGAAAATATAAATTGAGACAACGCTAACACTACATCACTTTATTATTATTTCTCTTATATATTAATGAGAAATTACGATCACGCTTTTTGACCTTCAAAGAAATTTAGTGCAATTATAAGTGAACGGAAGAAGTAATTTACAATATATATTTTCAACATAGCAAGTCGAAACAATACTTACATAATCATTTGAAGCCAAATCCTACCATACACGACTTCTAATTTTAACAAAAACATAAATAGTTGAAAGAATGTTGTGAAGGAACAATTCTTGAATGTTTTACTTATAAAGTAAGGTTTCTTTTCAAGTCAATTTTAACCAATCCAAATCATTTTGGTTCAGATTAAATTAGCTACAGGCAGTAAATTTTTGTTTAACGCCCACTTTTTTAAAGTCTGTGTGTTTTATGTTACAAAATTAGCAGTTTTGTCATTTAACCAATGACCGATAAGAATCTCCATTCCAGAAAGAGAAAAGGGGGAAAAAAACTCTCAAATCAAACTGTAAAAAGAATCACTGGGTGGTCTAGATTGAGTCAAAGAGTCTATTTCTACAATGTTAAGTTTAAAACTTTGAATCATTTTTTTGAGGGTGTCGACTGTATTGCATTCCGTCAAGAATGGTAACATCAGGGTATTAAATAGAAAATGAGGGATTTTGCACTGTCCAACTCAATGCATTATCATCCACCACCCCCTCCCTTCTCCCAAAGAACATAAAAGAAAGTGTGTGTATATCTCTCCCTCTAACTATTTGTCTGACAATGACTATGAGAGAAGGGTGTAAACACATACAAGGATTTTTTTTGGATAGAGAGAAATGGAGGGAAAGGAAGAGAAGTGAAAAGGAAGTATGCATCATCCTTTGTTTGGATACCTAATGCAAGGAGAAAATGCGAGGGAATTGGGAAGATTCATTTTCCTTCCCCTTTAAAAAACCAAATCCCTCCACTGTTGGAGAGATTTGGAAGGAAAATGGAAACTCACCTTCTCCCTCCCCTCACTTTCCCTTCCCTTTCCTCTTTTTCCTTCCCCTCCCTTTCCCTTCACTATCGACCTATTGTTATCCAAACATAGTATTATATAGGTGGGTATTCCTCTACCTATCTTTCCCGTTCATGAATAACATAAACACGACGGAATGCCAATTTTTTATTACTGGTACATTGAGCTATTGGAAAATATGTTGCCTTCAAAACATGCGTAAACTATAACTATTTGCACACATGAGGAGCTTAGAAAACAGATCAGATTTTTATTTGGTTCTTGCATAAGCAACCTAATGGTCTTCCATTACATACAAACTTCAAAGCATACCTCATTTTCACATCTATTTTTAAAAATTCACCTCTAAAATCATACATTTACGACAACATCGCATGGACATATAAGATTAAGTACTCGGTAATTAACACAAGCAAAAAATGGCCATTCTTAGAGGGAAGTTACCAAGGCTCCAATCATGTTCTTCAGAGACCTATCTTTGATTCTCTCAAGGCTTATGTCACTATGTCAGAGTTTCAGTATGACAAAAATATTCCAAATTTTCATCCCCAAATGATCGTATCAATGTAACAGAGCTCTAAAGTTCACAAACATCGAACTTTTTTTCCTCTTTCTTTTTTCAACTGGAATTTGGTGGACGGACAACCTTACAGCTAAAGGACGTGGAATGGAATTGATCTTTTTCCTCAGCATTTTGTTCACATAAAAGAGCAGATGAATTTGATTCCCTTAATTCATAGCGTAATATCTTTAGGTGTATTGATAAATTTCGAATCCACTAGAGAATTGTAATGTTTAAAAAAAAAAAAAAAAAAAAAAAAACAATTATCTCAAGTGCAATTAAAAATCTAACTCAAAATTAGAATACGTATTTGACCAGAACAGAGTAATACAATTTGGTCACCAGACATTTGGTTTCAGCTTTATGGAAAAACCTACAATTTTAGCTGTAAAGTTTTTGGAGCGCTGAAGCCCTCATTTAAATAAAACAAGCATTCAGCAAGGTCAAAATGCAACCCAACAGAAATTTGCAAAATAAATCTTTTCTGAGAAGCACTTAAAGAAAGAGTGGGAAAGCCTGTAGTATTTTTAAGCTAGAAAAACAATAAGCAATTTTAAACAAGGATGATGGGAGTAGGTGACAGCTACAGAAGGAAAAATAAAGGACTAGCCACTAGCCCAACCAAGTGATCAAATGTATCCTCTAACCTTTATAGTTTTTTTAAAAAAAATACCCCAGTAATTTAACCCCCCCTACTTTTTGTGCATAATCTATATTGTATTTACGAACCTTTCACTCTTCCTAAAAAACTTAACTGTTTCATAAATCTTAAAAAACAAGTATCACCTTGTACTAGTCTCTAAAATTTTCTTAAACTAAAATTGTATGAAGGTTCCTCTTCCCCAAGGACTTCATATTGTTAAGAAATCAGCTTCACCTAGTTCAAACTTCCTAAGATACTTCTTATTTACTTAAAACTGATCCTTCCAAAATAAACTACAAAGATTTGTTGGCTCACACAGATATCATAGGCCATGGAGTTTCACTAAAAAAAAAAAACTCCTTTCAAGGCTTACGTACTTGGTACCATGAAAGATGATGACTGAAAAGGCCCTTGGTTTATTTGTAAAAAACACAGAGAGAGCCAAAAGTGAGTCATCATTGTAGAAATTAGTGTGCTTTGGTTTGCTAAACTGATACAAGTTTATGTTAGAACGGAATTACGGAAACCATAGAATTGTCCAAATTGTATACGGCTATTCTAGCATAAAGCCATATCCCCTCAAAAAATTTCATCTCGATCGATGTCAAGATCTAGCATTGAAACTCAGATATCCATAGAAATGGACATCAACTCAATTAAAATTTGATCTCACCCTAAGTCAATACTTTGCAAATACACCGAGCAAATAAAAATAATTGCACAATACCGTTGAAGGATCACTATGACAGAAATCTCCAAGGCATATGCAGCAAGTATCATCACATGCTTCTAGCATCTCGCCTTCTACAAAGGTTCCAATAGCCGTTGAATGATTGTTACTCTCCCTAGCAATGTCCATATCTGAATGCTCCTACAATAAGTCAAACAAAAAGCACGTGTAAGAATGGGAAATAAATCTAGTAAGTTTTACTGAAATGTTGTTAGTAGGTACTATAACAAAGTAAACCAGCTCCCTTAAAAGTGGTTGGCATGAAGCCAGTGACAACAATGTGATTGACTTGGGGCTTTAGAAACCCATGATGCTAAAAGATATACATGGGCACACAATAAGCATGTTACCTATAAGTGGGGGGAGTCTCAAGTGTTTCAAATCACAAACGGTGATACATGTGAGCACCTCAAGAATTTTTAAGGCCTTTTGCCAAAATGATTGATCATAATTTCTGCCTAAGTTAGCTACTTTAAGGCCAAGTTGGAGACTTCCTAGTACCCTCTGTAGTGGATTCTGTTACACTGCAGGCACATTTTGTAATAATACAAACTTTCCTATGCTTCTTCTTTTCTAACACTATCTTATCCCTATTGTCCTCATTATACCTTTGACCATTAACATGGTTGGTTGTGTATGCAATATGCATGGCCACCTGAACTCAATTAATTTAAACAGCCATATTGTAGTATACATGTTCCTAAGAAAGTGTACGTGTCAAGTGGAACCCCCTCTCCCCCGATTGACTAGAATAACGTCATGCTTAGTACTTAGACACATTACTACATTTGACAGCAAAAGGTTCTTATAGTAAGGTTCGAGTTTGAGACCAGCAAGAGGTATTCTTGATATTTAATAATAGTATTTATTTTGTACTAATCTTATTCAATTCATTTTATGTTACTCCATATGTGCTAATTTTCACTAGTTTCAAAAAAAAAAAAAAAACCCTATGTAAAACTCTAAAACATACAGAGTACAATCCGATTATTTTACAGTATGTCATTATTTCCCTACAACTAAGTCAAATCATGACATTCAAATTCAAAACACAAGGCAACCCAGGCGCAGCTATCCCATTCTAGTTGTGTATTTGGCAGGCAGTTTTCAAAGCTCTTAACAGACAAAACAGCCTCAGCTGCCATTCAAGACAAAATTGTGTATATGGAATAGATATACTAGCCTTGGCAGCCATTTAACTTCATGTCTTTATCAATATGTTTCGAAACTTCAGATCTTTAGAGATGTATTTCTGCAGACTTTATGGTGTGAAATCATATCCAGGCAGGTTTTTTTTTTTTTTCAAAGATCATATCCAAGCAGTTTATTATACATAAATTCACACTTCTCACTTTCTATCTCTGAAATTCCACTATTCAACTCTTACATTCCAATGAATCCAAAAGAACATCACTTCAAATTATTTACTCCAAAATTAGAGTTTTTTTTTTTTTCTCCTATACACGCATAACAGTCAATTAAATTTAAAATGTATACTCTTTCTGTTTCTCATTTTACACACCGTCTTTTTTCAATCAATTACGGAATATATTGCTATGCTGTTTTTCCTTTTCGAACGGTTCCTTATAACAATTCATGTTAGCCAACCCCAAATTATTTTGCGGCTAAGGCTTTGTTGTTGCTGTATGCATAACAATCAATTGCAACAAAATCTAAGATGAAAGTATATGCCACAAATTCATTAAAAGAGATGCAAATCAAACCCCCAATGACCCACAAAAGAATTTCTATTTTCCTAAATTTATAGACAAGAACATATTCTGAATTTCTGATAAATAACATAATCCAATCACCAAATTAAATGATCAAAGTTGGAAAATCAACTATATCGAAAATACCCAACTTCAGCAAACAATACATTAATCAAATTCAATTAAACAATGTAGGAAATATTTATCAGGCCAAAACATTTCAAAATTGAATTAGCCTTATAAAGCATTGAATTTTGAGAAAAATGATGTACCTCAACTGGGGAATTCAGAAATGGCAGGGCAAATTTTGCCCATGAAAGGGAGAGGTGAAGGTAGGAGCTGCAGAATTCCCAGACAATGCAATCTTTGGAAGTACATTGGGAATTTTTCGAAAGTTAAGTTTATAAAAAGTTGGAGCCTTAATTTTAGGAAGTAACAAGGGAATTTTGGGATTTGCCATTTCATGAGAGAACTTAGAGCCAAAGAGAAAGAGAGAGAGAAAATTTGCAAATTTTGTACTTAACGCTAATTAATTTAGAAACGTCTGTGGTGGCAAACTCTGATGTAACAAACTCAGTTAACGAATAACGATAATTAACTAGTTATTTGAAAATTTATAATGATCCAAATAACTATATTTCGGATCATTATAAATTTGTAAGTTTGATCAAAATTATATTTTTTTTTTTTTTTGAAGAAACAAATTAGAAAATTAATTTGTCTGCTTATATTGCAAAATCTCTTTCTCAATTTACATGTTAAAAAAGTGTGTTATATTAAAAGAAAATGGAGAAAGTATATTTCATCATATCTTTGCTAACATAATTTTGAATTTTTGACATGAAACGATGACCATGTAGAGTAGGGGTTCCTGTTTGTACAGATGATTCAGTTGAACGGTATCCTAAGATTTCTAACACAACATGCTTATACGGTTATCCCCTATGTTTAGTTACTCCGTATCTGCTAAGAGCAATGCCAATGGTGAGCATTTTATTTGCTCATGGGCAAATTTGATGGGAAAATAAAATGCTCACCATTGTAGAAGGTGAGAAAATTTGATCAAGCCAAAAAAAGCCCATGGGCAAAATGAAATTTGCCCAAAGAGTGAGCATTTTCGTGTAGCTACAGTGAAGGAAGTGGGCCCCACAGCATGTCAGACGCAATTAAAAAAATTTGGCTGGGCCCTTATCAAAACGACGCGTTTTGATGGAGTGGTCTGAAGGGCCGCTTCCAAAACGCGTCGTTTTGACGCTTAGAAAATAAAAAATAAAAAATAAAAATGGCAGAGGCGCGTCAGAGTTGCTGGCGAATCAGAGCTCGCCACGTGTCGTGCGCAGGGGATTGACCAATGAGAAAATACTAGCCGTTTACAACGGTAATATTATTTGTAACTGATTTTCCGAAAAATATATTTATTAAAAAAAAAAAAATTACCAACGGTCATAAAATTAAATTCTCTATAAATAGACATGCATTTTGATATGTTTTGATATAATTTCGTAATCACCTAAAATCCTCCACTTTTTTATTTTCTTAAGTATTTTAAATTTGTAGAAGAATATATTTGTTGCAAAACATCCATATTGAGGTAAATTTTTTTTTTTTTAAATATTTAAATTTTTTTTTAAATATTGGTTATTTTTTTAAAAAAAATATATACATGTAGTTATGTATTAAAATTAGTATATATGTGATTTTTGGAAAAAAAAAATATTGTATGGCATGTTATGTAATTGCTTTATGTAATTGAAGAAAGTTGTTGATAATTTCTCCTTACATTACTAAATTTGTAGTAAATATAGTGTTGCAATTATTGGTTAATTTTATTTTAAATATATACATGTAGTTATGTATTAAAATTAGTATATGTGTGTTTTTTTTTAAAAAAAATATTGTAGGCCATGTACTGTAATTGCATTATGTAATTGAAGAAAGTTGTTGATGTTTTCTCCATACATTACTAAATTTGTAGTTAATAAAGTCTTGAAATTATTGGTTAATTTGTTTTTTTAATATTAAAATTTAGTTATGACTTTAAATTAGTATATATGTGAATTGGTTAATAAAGTTGTTGATATTTTTTTGGATTTGTTGTCATTTTAATTTGTTTTTTGAGTAAATCTTAGTAAAAATATTTATCTTTTGTTTTGTGATGCAGAATCTTTTAATGGATCCAAACAACCCAAATTTCCGTCAACAATTTTCTGGTTTTAGTGATGATTTACTAACTAATCCCGAGTTTCAATTGTTCTTGCAAAGAATGGGCAATACGTCTTTGCAACCACCTCCACAGTATCAGACACCTACTCAGTTTCCCCTACGAAACCATGTTAATGAAGAATGTACACCTGAAATTGAACATAATAGCAACACACAATTCGATGACAGCGAAGAAGACAGCGTACCAGAGACGCCGCAATATCCTCCACCAGTTCCGGAACTGAAATCCAACCAGGTTGTTGCACGAGCGACTCGAATTTGATCAGTTGCGGAAGATGAAACTCTGATTGGGTTGTACTTGGAGATCAGCGAGAATGTTATTAAAGGCACGAGCCAGAAAGCAACTTCCCTTTGGCGCGATGTACACGCAGCATATCAACTTGCTCATGCGGAGAAGCCGCATTTACTTCCACCAAGACCTATGAAGAGTCTGACGTCGCACTGGAGAAGGTTGGCAGCAGACACACTACAGTGGATATCTTGCTATGATGAAGCAGGTAGACTTCCGGAGGGAGGGAGTGGTTACAACGAAGCTGACCGTATAAAAAGTGCGTCGAAGCTTTTCCATCTCGCCCAAGGTCGTAATTTCGCTTTTCCTCACGCTGTTGAAATGCTTAATAGAGATCCAAAGTGGAGGCCAAAGCTGAGATGGTCCTTGTCAAAGGAGGAAAGAAAAGTTGTTCGTGATGTTGAGGAGCAAGGTAGTGCTGGAAGTGGGAAGAGGTCCAGAGATGATGGAGGGGATGAAACCCCTACGAATGGTTTTTCATCTGGAGGAATACAACGACCCGAAGATGTGAAGAAAGCAAAGGCCAAGCGTAAAGGGAAAGAAGTAGCTTCGGACAGTGGTTCGTCTGAGCTTAGCGAACGAATGAAGGAATCGGCAACAATTCGCGAGAGGGAGGCCATTCTGAAGGAAGAGCGGATCAAAATTGAAAGGGAGAAGGAACAGAGGAAAAGGGAGGAACTTGACATTCATAAGATGAAAACCTGGTTTGATATGGTGCAAGCTATGAAGAATTCGCCTACGCCACTCACTCCTGAAGAAGAGTCGTACAAGAATTTCTTACTGGGTAAATTACAGGGCTTATAAGCATGTTTGGTTGTAGTAGGTGTACGCTTGTATTAGTTAAGTTTTTAATTATGTGCAATGTAGTCTTTTAAGTTTTTAATTATGCGCAATGTAGTCTTTTATGTTTAACATGTAGTCACATTTTTGTCATTGTGTAGTCACATGTTTCTGAATTAACTTTGTCAGTATGCTTTAACTTTAGGTCATTCATACCGACATGGTGTAGTCACTTTTGTTCTGAATTCACTTTGTCAAGATTTGTCATTGTCAACTAGCATAGTATACCTATTCCGTGGCTGAAAATTTGAATGCTTTAGTTGGTGTGGTCATTCAGATTTGTAACCACATATTCATTTGATTTATTTGATATATATAGTAGGCATGGCACATATCCACAACCACACCAATTCAGAAAATTACAATATTAATACATGATGTATTCCAGACCATCATCAAGTTCAAGTTCAAGTTCATCTTCTTCCAATAATGAAGAATATGATCAACTCGTTGATGAACTCTTCACATACCAACCCACATCTTTCCTCATGCCCCAAACACAATCCCAACGTACTTCAAAATCACGTAGAGGGGGTACGAACAGAAGAGATTGGGAAATGGGACATGCCAGGCTGTTCAATGATTATTTTTTCGATAATCCTGTGTACAATACCACCCAATTTAGAAGAAGATTTTGTATGCAACGACCTTTGTTTTTACGTATAATGAACAAGGTCGTTGAAGGTGATGTTTACTTCCAGCAGCGTAGGGATGCAACTGGAAAGTTAGGCATATCACCTATGCAAAAATGTACAGCCGCGATACGAATGTTAGCCTATGGCATGGCTGCAGACGCTGTTGATGAATACGTTCGAATCAGTCAGTCAACCGCTCGAGTTGCCCTACAACGTTTTTGTGCCGGGGTCATTGACCAGTTCGGAACCGAGTACATGCGAAACCCTACAACTGATGAATTGGCCCGGATACTGCATCAAAATGAACTGCGTGGTTTTCCAGGCATGATAGGCAGCATTGATTGCATGCATTGGGAATGGAAGAACTGTCCAACGGCTTGGAAAGCGCAGTACGCCGGTAGGAACAAGAAAGCAACGCTAATACTGGAAGCCGTTGCGGATCAGGATTTATGGATATGGCATTCCTTCTTTGGTATTCCCGGATCTTGTAATGATCTTAATGTGTTGTACCGTTCACCAGTGTTCGATGAGGTTCTGCATGGTCGAGCTCCTCCGGTAAATTTTACGGTTAACGGCCATGAATACAACATGGCTTATTATTTAGCCGACGGCATTTATCCGAAGTGGGCAACTTTTGTTCAGGGTATCACATTCCCTCAACTGGCCAAAGATAAAATGTTCGCTGACCACCAGGCTGCCGCTCGAAAGGACGTTGAAAGAGCTTTCGGTGTGTTGCAAGCTCGATTTGCAATAATACGAAAACCGTCGCTGGCGTACGATGAGGACATACTGCGGGACATAATGAAAGCATGTATCATTATGCACAACATGATTGTTGAAGATGAGCGCCACAACTACACTCGAGCCGAAGTTCTAAGAGCCTTCTACGAAGAAGATCAACAAGAATCAACACCAGCATCAACATCTACAACGCCACCGTTTGAATTCAACGTAGGCCGACCTACCAACTTTGATTTCAACGCATTTCTACAGCGAAAAGCTTCCCTCCGTGACAGAGAAATTCATCTATCTCTGAAACGTGATTTAGTCGAACATATTTGGCAACACTACGGGCCACGTAATTAGGGAGAAATTAGCACGGCTTAAATAAAGCCAAGTACTATGGCGTAGCTACTTTTACTTGTTGTGTTTATTTTATTTCCTAAGTTTAATTACGCATGACGTTGCAAATGTAATTGGTTTCTAGTATTGTACCGCTTTTAAAATAAATAAAAACATTTAAGAAATTTTGAGCTTTTTTTAAAAAAAATTTTATATAACGTACTTAATTTTACGACAAATTTTAACGATAAAAAGGACAAAAATAAAAAAAATAAGTTACACAAATTTTAACTAGTTTTTATTTATTTGGAGTAACATTGTTAAAATATAAATGAAATAAATAAATAAAGAAGTGTTGTGTAGGAGAGAGAAAGTAATGGTGGGGTATTGAAAAAGTAAGAGAGAGAGAGTGGTGGGTGGACAATTTTTTTGCTCACCATTGGGAGAGAATATGTGAAAAAAATTTGCCCATGAGCAAAACTTATTTCTTGAGAGAGAAAGTGGGTAGAGAGAGAGTGGGTGAGCATTTTTTTTGCTCACCATTGAGAGTGGTCTAAAAAGCTTGTTTCAAGTCTCGGAAAAGTTAGATAGTACTTGTACTATTGTAGTATAGTTTAGGTGTATGTTTGCCCATTGTTATTGAAGTGTATGAATGACATAGCTTGCTTGTATACATCTGTTTTGTTGTTGAGATTTATCAATGTTCTTTAAAGTAGTTCAATATTTGCTGAGATTTCTTAATGTTCTTTAAAGTTTTCAATATGCCACTTCTTCTCTAAGATTAGATCAAGGTTGTAAGATTAAAAATGTCAAAACAAATACCAAAGCAAAAGGCTGATGAGATGTGTATACATCGTGATACTTCAAAACAAATCGTGATACTTCATAACATCACTCTACTACACGATTAACCAAACAAATTAACCAAGTTCCTTCCAATCCTATATACATTTCTTGAGCACGGTTAAGGGCATGTTCTATTCAACTTAATTTCACTTCAGTTCAGTTATTTTCAGTAAATCGAAACAAGCCTAAGTCTGTTTAAGAGTAACATTTCAGATCTTTTTTCAATGCTTTCAAAATCCAGCTACTCTTGTTCTGGAACAACACGCTAATCAATCAACAGACTCTCGATGGTCTGGAACAATTCTTCTGCACAACAGTCCTTAAGACTAGCAATTAAGGACTGTCCCGAGTTGTGCCATAAGCCCATAATCGATCAACTATACAAGCACTGCGGCTACATCCGGATTCCTGATTACTTCATGTGCAGTTATTATATGTAGCAACAAGGAGTAAGCTAAGCAATACACAAGTTGCAACGACATTGAGTATCAAAAAATGGTATACTGACCTCGCCAGAATTCGGAAACACCCTCTGGACAACTAGACAACATGTTCTTTGAATTGAAGCCGGTACTTGCCTAATGGTAAATGGTAATAAATCAGCCTTACTAGCTAAATTAATTTCCCTGATGTAATTTCTACTCGTAGAAATGAGCCAGATCCTAAAAGGCTAGAAAAGTAGGAATTGTATAAAAATATTTGTTCATTCTGTTAGTCAATTGAATCCATACAATTTTGTTTCTAATTTAATCATTAGATTATTTCAACCATTTTTTCAATACCACTTTATCAAACTAATATAGCACTCTTCCTAATAAAAAAAAAAAAAAAAAAAAAAAAATTAAATTCCCAATGATAACCCTCAACTTTTGCTACGCACCAATGGTAACTCTCTTGAAAATTAACTATACAAAATGACCTTAGTTAAGATTTTCATCTCACTCATATTAAATTGTTGATTAAAATTAACTATAGTTAGATTTATATTTTTTTGAAAAAAAAAAAAACTAAATTAATTCACCCAACCACCAAAAACCAGCCACCCCAACCAGCCAGCCACCATCACCCTTTCCGGCGAGACTACCCCGACCACCCTCATACCGCCCCAAACCACCGAACCCAAACTGCGACCACAACCACCCCAGATCACCGAACACAGAACCTCGACAACTCGGCCCTCCCAGATCGTTGAACTTAGAACCCCAACTATCCCAGCTCGCCGAACCCAAGCCACGATCACCCTAGACCACCAAAATACCCAAACCACCGATCCTCCCTCTCTCTCTTTCTTCTCCGCCCTCTCCTCCACCCTCTCTCTCTTCACCTTCCGCCTTCTCCGATCCCGCCCAGAATAGAAACCTCAAACCCTAAACCCACCACCCCTCCTCGACCAAAACGGCCTAGGTCAGAGAAAGAATGGCCATAGGAGAGAGAAGGTTGCGAGGTTAGGGTTTGGGTCTAGGCGGAGGAAAGGGGGGAGACAATTGTTCGGTGGTTCAGGTGGGTGATTCGACGGTCTGGTGAGGGATTAGGCTGTTCGGTGGCTCCGGTGAGGTTGGAGGTGAGCTGGCTAGGTCTGGTAAGGGATGAGGGTGGAGGTGGTGGTTAGGTTGGTTTTTTATTTTTTTTTATTGTTAATTTTATAAAACTAACCATAGTTAATTTTATTTTAACTACATAACACTCATAAATGTCACAAGTGATATAAAATTCTTAATTAAGATCATTTTGTATGATAAAAAAAGGAGAGGTTACCATTAGTGCGTAACAAAAGTTAGGGTTTACCATAGGAAATTTCCCAAAAAAAAAAAACCAATATAGTACTCTATCATAAGTTGTGCTGTGCCAATATCATTAAATATTGTACAATTACAAACTATCAAGAATATGGCAAAAATGAATCTAGAAAAATAGGAAACTCATTAATTCAATCTTCTTCTCTAAAATTCCAAATCTTTTATTAATAGTCCAAAATTTGAATGCAAATGTAAAAATGAATTAACCAATCAATAGGAAAAATTAGCAATATAGCATATTCAATTAACTGTTGGAACTGATTGAATTAACATCAACATTGTTCAATTGAACAATTGAACTAGCAAAAACCAGCAAAATAACAAATCTATTTCATACAAACCAAACCAACTACATCCAAATTTAATAAAATCAAAAGCCTAAAAACAACAAATTTAACCACCGAACCCATAAAGAGTACGGCCTTGTCTCTTAAGAGCATAAACAACATCCATAGCAGTAACCGTCTTACGCCGAGCATGCTCAGTGTAAGTAACAGCATCTCTGATAACATTCTCCAAGAATATCTTCAAAACACCGCGAGTTTCCTCATAAATAAGACCGCTTATCCTCTTAACCCCTCCTCGCCGAGCCAAACGGCGAATGGCGGGTTTAGTGATACCTTGAATGTTATCCCTCAACACCTTCCTGTGCCTCTTTGCTCCTCCCTTTCCTAACCCCTTGCCTCCCTTCCCTCTTCCTGACATTTTTTCTAGAGATCCCAAATTCGGGTTTTTAAGGTTGAGTTGGATTTTTGTTGCTAATTGAACTATTAATTATGGTGGGGAATTGGAGTTTGGGGTTAGTGGGTAGTGGGTTTATATAAGGAGGAGAAAGCGGGAGGTTTGGAAATTTTAAGGATTTGGTTTTGGAGGGAATTTTGATTTTGGTTTTAAATCAATTGGAGCCGTTGGATGTGAATTAATCTGACGAAGGACAAGGACGATCCGTGTAAATCATCAATTAGTGTTTACCACCGTTGATGGGTTGAATCTAATGGTTGTTCTTGGCTTAATTTGCTAAACTTTTTTTTGTATGGATTTATTACTGGTTTTGCTGAGCCGTACTTGCAACTTTTCCAAGTACCAAGTTTAAAAAAAAAATTATTGGTTTTTGAATAAACCTTTTTTTTTTTTTTTTTTACTAAGTTTTTGAATAAACCTATAAAACTACCATTTAGTAGTAAAACGCAACAATTGTGACATTGCTAACTCGTTAACAAAAATACTTGTATATGACTTAAAAGAAATCCGGATTTTAGTGAAATGAAATTACACATCCCCAACTCGTATACCTCATCACCAATGCTGAAAACTCGTATGATTAATGGTCTGTTCTCATAGACTGAATTGAACTGAAATGAATATTGTATAAGAGAAGGAAATTAGTAGTTGAATTGAACTGAACTGAAAATAAACCTATGAGAACAGGCCCTAAGATTTTATTAAACATGGAACTTTGTAAGGTTAAATTTTTATCACAAAGGAAAAACAATTAAGACATGGTGTGAGAAAAAAGAAAAACTTCGTTGCACAAAAAATAGGAAATTTGACCCCAAATAATACTCTTCTTTAATAAGTAGGAAAATTTGATTCTAATAATCCCACCTTTGCCCGGTTCGTAAATAATAATCTCACCTATTAATTATTATTTAATACCTCACCTTTGAGGGCCATCTTCTCTAATGACAAATTGAAAGCTCAATATTATGCGCAATTGAGAGAGTGTTTGATTAGAGGGAAAAGGGTGTGAAATTAGGCAAAATGAGGTGTAATTAGGAAAATAGGGGTCATGTGAATGGCACATGCTGTAAAACACGTGGTCAATGCCTGAGAATGGTGAGTCAACGTCGGAAAGTGGGTTTTGGCTGTCTTGAACAAAAAAATAATTTTAAAAGGTTTTCTTTGGCCAAAAAAATTTTAAAAGGTTTTTTTTAGACAAAAAAATCACTTTAAAAGGTTTTTCCTCACAAATTTTCCTTAACTAACTATAACCTTCATTTTGCAAATTAAAAGCTTCTAATAGTTAACAATAATTTGGTATCCATCTTTTCGTTTGACCAAAACACTATTTTGACGGCTTCCCTTTAGTTCAGTGTTGGTTGCTCATCCTAGTGTATACGTTGAAGGGTACCTTAGCTTAAATGTAATCAATCTATTAGGCTTATTGGAAAACATTAGTAGACAAGATGTGATTGCATCCAGGAGCTGAGATTAGAGGTTATATGAACGGAGGGTTGAGAGAAATGTAGAAGTGTCCGTAGGGGTAAATTGGTCATTTCATACGGGATTTAAATTTTGCCCTTTTAGATTCATTGGTACAAAATACACTTTCAGTGGTACAAAATATAATTTTAGTGGTATTTAAAAAAAGGTTCAAATGTCTAATTAGACTGTCAAATAATACAATCACTCCCAGTGGTACAAAATACACTCCCAGTGGTACTCAATGCGGTTTTAGTGGTATTTATAAAAATCCTCAGTGGTACAAAACATACTCTCAATAGTTGTGGTCCCATTTTTTTTTTTTTTGGTCGTTTTTGCACGTGAAACCATTTCTGAAAATTTTTAGTGGGGCCCACACAACCTTTTTTCACTCTTCCTATCTCTCTTCTCCTTTCTCTCTCTTCTTTTTACTTTTATGTTATTTTAATGGTTATGAGACATTTACATTTGTCTCATAACACTCCATTTGTACTTCCTCCCGAGATTACTCATCAGTTAGCTCCACCTACATTAACACTTTATGTTATTCTACCTATATACTGTGAAAAGAATACAAGAGAATCACTGTTAAGTTTTAACAATATAAAGTGCAACAACATAATCATCAGCATAATTACATAAGTCACTAACACAAGAAGATCAAACGACTACTATTTATTCACGCAATCAATGAACACTTAGCCAATAAAGTCAACCTTCGATCAATCACAAATTCACAATAGTATACAAAATCATCCTTAAACAACACTACGACTATTCCCCCATTTTGATGCATCATGACATAAAAAACGACCAAGATCTTACCAGTTGTAAAAACTATTATGCTTTCCATAAACCCATTACATAGATATGTTAATGATGCATACAGCCAAATTCTAACTATATACCGTGATATAATCTATTTTTAAGTATCATAAAGCATTTGGAACTTATAACCTTTATTTATTTTTATTTATTTTTTAACAACACCAAAACCCTAAATTAATCAAAAACTAAAGTACACACTAGAACATTAGGGGTAGAACCATATAACAACTTTCTATTCGGAAGCCATACAAGTTCGATGGGATAAGACGCTTTCCTTTTTGAGCCACTCATCCTGCAAAACAAAGGGTTAGTAAAAACAGAGGAAGTTAAACTTTTTAGAGAATGACTTTGCCTTCTAGCTCTGGAACGACAAGAAGAAACCAATAACTTCAAATTTTGAGAAGAGGAATTGTTGGGGCTTGCAGCAGACTTCACCGGGGAGTAGACTGGAGCATCTGGAAGGGCACCGACGTACTTTCACACGATGATGACACTTGATCAACCATACCTATGGTCGAATCTTCTTGTGCCAAATTTGGAGCTGTTTCACACCTATCATGTCCTTTCACCTTATAACCTTTAAGTGCACGAGTATCATGATAAGTGTCATTTATGTCGCTATTTTTAAGAGTTTTCTAGTTAGTTTTTCATAGTTTTTATATCTTTTTACTTGGTTTTAATAACGTTTTACTAAATTTGTCATGATTGCGTGTGAAATGTCGTTATTGCTCAATTTTGGCTTTTCTTGCATATTTTGGTTGCTTATGGCATTAGATTAAACTTTATTGGTTTATTCTTATGTTAAGGAACACTTGGATAAGTTCATTGCTCAAGATTGAAGAAATATAAAACATAAAAGAACAAGTAATGAAGAAATGTACACTTGATTTGCAATGATCAAACTTCAAATGCCTATATCTTTTGATCTACAAAACATTTTGGGGCGATTCTAATTGGAGATGAAAGCTTATCTCGAGAGCTTTCCAACGATAGGTCATATTCCCAATTTCGTTGTAAAACATGGGAGATATGCTCATTTGAAGCTGAGCGGTTTGTCCAGTCCGATAGGAGAGGAGGAGCGCCTGCTCCAAACTTTCTGGAACGATTCTGCCATGTTTTGCTGCAGCTAGGAGCGCCCGTGCACGAAATTGGAGCGCTCGCTCCTCTGCGCGCTGCTCGACTTTTTGCGGAGCTTCCTAGGCAATTTAGTAAGGGGTATAAATAGATTTTTTGCTCATTTTAGAGGGAGGAATTCATTTCTTCAGTAGTTTTTAGACTAGTTTTAGGTTTTTAGAGAGAGAAACTCTCAAATTTAAGAGAGAGAAAGTGAGAAACACAATGATTTTCATGGATTTTGGATAATCAAAGGAGGAATTTGATGATTTGAAGATCTCCATCTTATATCAATGAGCATTCTTACTCTCTTTTCTCTTTATGCTTTCTTTAATTGCTTTGTTAATCATGTTTGAGTAGGTTTCCTTCTACTAGGTGTTGAGTGAAGCTTTGTAATGGCTAAATGAGTTGTTTGAGATAAATTTGATGATAATTGTGTGATTAAATTGATTGAATTGATGATGGCATGTTGTTTGTTTTAGATTGGATTGATCTCCCATGATAGCAAACTTATTAATTGCATATTAGTTCTAGTTTAACAAGGGATTGTGAATTAGAATTGTTATATTTGATTGCATATTGGGTAAATTTCTTCTATGCACCTAGTCAATGAGGGATCTAGGCTAGGAATTTGAGAGATTGCTCTTGAGTGTAATTAATGCCCATTTTAATTCTTTCTTTGCATGATTGATTTTCAAATGGATTCTCATTAACTTTTTAATTGTTCAAAGTGGATCTTTACCCCTAGTAGACTTTATAATAGTTGTTCTTTATATGTGTGTTAGTGTAGTTGTAGTGTCCACTATCCATAAACCGACTTCGGTTAGCTTAAGCATTAGATCGAGAACAATCTAACATTACCGTTCCTTGTGGTTCGACTCCGAACTTACCACTAGACTTGTTTAGGGGTTAGTTTAGGATTATAATAAATTTTGTTTGGCCGTGAGGAGGTTATTCAACGACCTAATTTCCCCGTGCTCAAAATGGCGTCGTTGCCGGGGAACGGTGTCAATGCTTGATTGTTTTTGATTGCTTGAGTCTAGATCTTTGTGTATACTTTTGCTTGATTTGTTTTGTTTTATTTTATTTTATTTTGTTTTTGCTAGTTTTTGTAAAAATAAAAAATGGTGTGTTTCTCATTTCCTCAATATAACAATGAGCCTTTTTGTGAATACTTTAATATACTTGAGGGATTTCTTGATCATAATTGTTGTAGTCTTTGGGAGGCTTGTGAGATTTGTTATTTTGGTTTAAATGAGAAAACTAGGGATATTGTTGAATGCATGCGTAATGGTGAATTTAGGGCATTATCAATTGATGATGCTTGGGATTTTCATGTTTGGTTTGCTTGGGATGTCTATAATAAGGGTAATCATGATTCTATTATTGATATGAAATGTGTTGATACTTTTAATATTAGCATGAATTCTCATAATTTGTTACATGATCCCTTAAGTGAACCTAGAACACATGATTTCAACTCTATTTCCTCTTTTGTTTATGATGATGATGTACATGCTTAAGTTGATGCTAATGATGTGTTTCAATATTCTTCATTATTTACCATGCCTTCTTGTGATGTACCTTTTTCTCCCAATAATGAATCTTATATGCTTGATTATGCCCCCTCTCCCCATGGTGATGATTACATATA